TTAAAAAAAAGAAGAAAAAAGAAACTGGACCATTTCCTTACACCATACACAATAGACTCAAAATGGATGAAAGACCTAAATGTGAGACAGCAATCCATCAAAATCCTTGAGGAGAACATGGGCAGCAACCTCTTCAACCTCAGCCACAGCAACTTCTTCCTAGAAACATCACCAAAGCAAGGGAAGCAAGGGCAAAAATGAACTATTGGGACTTCATCAAGATAAAAAGCTTTTGCACAGCAAAGGAAACAGTCAACAAAACCAAAAGGCAACCGACAGAATGGGAGAAGATATTTGCAAATGACATATCAGATAAAGGGCTAGCATCCAAAATCTATAAAGAACTTATCAAACTCAACATCCAAAGAACAAATAATCCAATCAAGAAATGGAGAGAAGACAGGAACAGACATTTCTCCAAAGAAGACATCCAAATGGCCAACAGACACATGAAAAAGTGCTCAACATCGCTTGGCATCAGGGAAATCCAAATCAAAACCTCAATGAGATACCACCTCACACCAGTCAGAATGGCTAAAATTAACAAGTCAGTAAACGACAGATGTTGGTGGGGAGGCAGAGAAAGGGGAACCCTCCTACACTGTTGGTGGGAATGTAAGCTGGTGGAACCACTCTGGAAAACAGTATGGAGGTTCCTCAAAAAGTTGAAAATAGAGCTACCTTATGACCCAGCAAATGCACTACTGGGCATTTACCCCAAAGATACAAAGGTAGTGATCCGAAGAGGTACGTGCACCCCAGTGTTTATAGCATCAATGTCCATAATAGCCAAACTACAGAAAGAGCCAAGATGTCCATCAACAGATGAATGGATAAAGAAGATGTGGTATATATACACAATGGAATATTATGCAGCCATCAAAAAAAATGAAATCTTGCCACTTGCAGTGATGTGGATGGAACTAGAGGGTATTATGCTAAGCGAAATAAGTCAATCAGAGAAAGACATGTATCATATGACCTCACTGATATGAGGAATTCTTAATCTCAGGAAACAAACTGAGGGTTGCTGGAGTGGTGGAGGGTGGGAGGGATGGGGTAGCTGGGTGATAGACACTGGGGAGGGTATGTGCTATGGTGAGCGCTGTGAATTGTGCAAGACTGTTGAATCTCAGATCTGTACCTCTGAAACAAATAATACATTATATGTTAAAAAAAAAAAAAGAAGATAGTAGGAAGGGAAAAATGAAGGGGGGGAAATCGGAGAGGGAGATGAACCATGAGAGACTATGGACTCTGAGAAACTGAGGGTTCTGGGTGGGGGGATGGGTTAGCCCGGTGATGGGTATTAAAAAGGGCACCTTCTGCATGGAGCACTGGGTGTTATACGCAAACAGTGAATCATGGAACACTACATCAAAAGCTAATGATGTAATGTATGGTGATTAACATAACAATTAAATGAAATTTTAAAAAAAGATACTGATTTTGTTTCTTTCAGATATATATCCAGAAGTAGAACTGCTGGACAATATGGTAGTTCTTTTAATCTTTAGGGAACCTCCATGCTATTTTCCATGATGGCAGTAATAATTTACATTCCCACCAAGGATTCCCTTTTCTCCACATCCTTGCCAATACTTGTTGTTTCTTGTGTTTTTTATTTTAGCCATTCTAACAGGTGTGAGGTGACATCTGTGACATCTTGTGGCTTTGATTTGCATTTCCCTGATGATTAGTGACTTTGAGCACCTGTTGGCTATTTGTATGTCTTCTTTGGAAAAATTTCTCTTCATATCTGCCATGGCTCACTCTTGAACTATTACATGCATAGGTGAAAATCCAAGGTATCCTGGGGCAAAACAACAGCTGGAGAGCTGAAAGAACCAAGCAGATACTTCAGTTATTGTCTACCACAGTGGAGACAGATTTAACCTATATAAGCTTACTTGATTTAAGAGAAAAAGCTCTAAGACTGACAAATAGCTCTAACTTGAATCATCACCATATAGAGATGTGGTTCCTCAACCGGTTCCCAGATTTGAGCTAGTTCTCAGGCTCAGAGCCTTTTAGATAAAAGATGGCCTTTGAGGAAAGGCCCAGCTGCTTTGCTAAAAATTTACATTGCAAATTTTATTACATAGTAAATCTTCCTCCTACACTTCCCCCCAAATATTTGCAGCCATTTGCCAGTGTGAGAGTGCATTGAGCTAAGGGAAATACCCAGATTTAAAAAATAGATTACCAGATACGGGCTGTGAACTGACACTAATTCCTGGAGATCTGAAATGTCACAGTGGTCCCCTAGTCAAAATAGGGGCCTATGGAGGTGTAGTTTTAGATTGGTCCATCTCAGTGAGCCCAGTGGGTTCCAAACCAAACCTGTGGTTATTTCCTCCAGTCCTAGAAAGCGTAATTGGAATAGTCATACTTAGCAAATGACAAAATCTCCACACTGGTTCCCTAACCCATAGAATGAGGGCTAGTATGGTAGCAAAAACCAAGTGGAAGCCACTAGAACTGCTTCCCCCTCCCAAAATAATAAACCAAAAGCAATACACATAGAGAGATTACAGATTAATGCCACTCGAAAGATTCAGGAGTGGTGATTCTTACCATATCTCTTTTCAAGTTGCCTATTTGGCCTGTGCAGAAGACAGATAAATCTTAGAAAATGAAAATGGATTGTTCCAAACTACTTAATCAGGTAGTCCCTCTAATTATAGCTACTGTTCCTGGTGTTGCTTCATTGGTGGAGCAAATCAATACTTTCTCTTGTATATGCTATTCACCTATTCCTCCAGCAAATACTTTTTTCTTTATTCCTGTTAGCATGGACCACAAGATGCAGTTTTATTTCATCTCTAAGGGTCAGCACTAACACCTTCACTGTTCTACTGCAGGGCTAGATTATCTCTCTAGCTCTCTGTCATAATCTAGTATAAATGGGCCTTAATCTTCATTCCATACAAATGGACACCACAGGACATTTGTGATATCATGCTTACTGGACATGGTGAACAAGCATCAGTAACTACCCTAGATAATTTGGTAAGATATATGCATGCCAGAGGGTGGAAATAAATTCTACAAAATTCAAGGGCCTGCTGCTTCAGTAAAATTACTAAGCATCCAGTGGTCTGGAGCATGTCCGGATATCCCTTCCAAGATGAAAGACTAGTTGCTGCATTGGATACCTCCAACCACTAAGAAAGAGGCACAATGCATAGTGGGCTCCTTTGGATATTGAAGGTAACATATACTTCATTTGGATGTGCTACTTGGACCCACTTGCTGAGTAACCTGAAAGAGGTTCCAGTTCTGAGTATGGCCTGGACGAATAGAAAGCTCTGCAACAGATACAGGCTGCTAAGTTAGTTGTTCTGCCACATAGCAGATCCATGCTATGTGAAGTGTTTGTAGCAAATAGATATACTCTATGGAGACTTTAGCAGGCAACTCTAGGTTAACAAGAGTCTACAGGATTCTAAACGAAGCTATGTTATCACCTGCCAATAATTATTCTTTTGGAACGTCCTCTGGCTTACTATTAGACTAGTAGGGACTTAACATGTGACCATGGCCACCAACTTACCTTTGAGTTCAACTGTTCACCATGAATTGGTGTTGTCTGATTTGCTAAGACATAAAATTAGGCATGCAGATCTGCACTCAATTACAAATGCCATTAGGATATATAAAATTGCATTTGAGCAGATTCTTAAAGCACAAAGAAACTGCATAAGAAAATGGTTAAATACCCATGGCTCTTACTCCAGCTACATGGTCTTCTCTCTTTCACCACATACCTGTGGCATCAAGTAGAGTTACTTACCATCATTTGACTGAGAAAAAAAATACTTGAGCCTGATTTTCAGACAGTTCTACATGATATGCCAGCATCATCTCAAAGTTCACAGCTGGAGTACCAGAGCCCTGCTCATGTATGGCCTTGATAGGCAGTGGTGAAAATTTCAGTAAGCATAACTTTGAGCAGTGACCTAGCTGTATAGCCTGGAAGGATAAATGTTCCAAGATATAGATTTTTACTGATTCACTGGCAGTGGGTAATGGTTTGGCTGAATGGTTGGGGACTTGTAAGGAATACAATTGGAAATTAGTGACAAGGAGTCTAGGAATGATATATATAGGTAAGTTTCTCTGAATGGGTACAGAATATGAATATAAGTGAGTTTCAAGTAAATGTTCCCCAAAGAGCAATATCAGAAGAAATGTTAATAATTAAGTGGACAAGATGATCCATTCTGTGGATGTCAGCCTCTTTCAAAAGCTACCCTTGCTACTGCTATGAATAATAAGCTGTCCTTTGTCACTGACCCAAGAGACACAAAACTATTGAAGGCTAACTTGTCAGAGGGCATGAATGGCGAAATCTCAGATCCTTCACAGTTCTTGAAAATAAGATTATTTTAGACTGGTTTAATTTCATGTGTACTGCTCATTAGTCTTTTCAAAGAGAACAATTATACAGCTATGATATAGAATAACATTTTCATAAACAAGTAAATGTGTTAGGTTTTGAGAAATAAATTCAATCTATTCTATGATAATATAACAATTACTTTATATGCATAGATCTCTTTATTTCTCATTTGTAATGACAAATATTTGGTTAGGATGCTTTGGTCAGGGGCGCCTGGGTGGCTCAGTTGGTTAAGTGATCGGCTCAGGTCATGATCCTGGAGTCCCGGGATCGAGTCCCGCTTCGGGCTCCCTGCTCGACAGGGAGTCTGCTTCTCCCTCTGACCCTCCTCCCTCCTATGCTCTCTGTCTCTCATTCTCTCTCTCAAATAAATAAGTAAAATCTTAAAAAAAAAAAAAAAGGATGCTTTGGTCATAGTAGCAGAAACAAAACTCTTTCTACTTTATGCAGAAAGGATAATTTATTATAAAATTACAAGGGTACCTTACCAACAGTTAAACAACAGTTTAAATTTTTTTTAAATTTTTTTTTAAAGATTTTATTTATTTATTTGACAGACAGAGACACAGCGAGAGAGGGAACACAAGCAGGGGGAGTGGGAGGGAGAAGCAGGCTTCCCGCTGAGCAGGGAGCCCGATGCGGGGCTCGATCCCAGGACCCTGGGATCATGACCTGAGCCAAAGGCAGACGCTTAACGACTGAGCCACCCAGGCGCCCCTAAACAACAGTTTAAAACAGGACACTAATAAATATCAAATTTTGCTAGCTTAATCAAACAGGGGGATTTATTATTAGGATACAAGGGTGCCATACCAAGCCAAGGGCAGGCTTCATGAAGGGCTGGAACAAGGAAATGGAGGACTATTAGAAAGCAGGAATCACATTCTCCTGATCTCTCATCTCAGCTTTTTACTTTGCAAGTGCTTCACTGCTCTCTCACTGCAGATTTACGATTTTTCCTCCCCAAACCACAAGGTGGGACATGGCAGCCCATAGCTCCCAAGTTTGTTTCCTCTATTCCAGAGACTAATCAGATCAAAGCTAGACTCTCTTATCTTCAATCTCAAATTCCTAGGAAAGTTTTAAGATCTTACCAAATTAGAGATGACTTTTCTGGGATAGGAAGATGGACTCTGGGACGCCAAGAGACAGAGAACAATTTATATATATGCTGTTCCTTACAGACCCTAAGTTCAAATAGCTTATTTAGATGTAGGAGTGGATATTAGAGAGATGTTCTCACAACCAGTAACTAGTAGAAATAATGAGGTGGTTCAGAAGAGAGAGGTGTTCTAATCTTTTTTAATATTTCCCATGGGACAGAATCAATTGACATGGGTAATGCTACTATCTTAATTGAGACAAATTTTTTTTCATTTTTTGTAATAGGTATGATTTATCTCTTGGGAAGATAAGCACAAATGCTGGCATGAGTAACTTAAGCACAAAAATTAATATTATATTTAATCATTTTCCAAGAAAGAAAGAAAAGGAGAGACTGATTACATGGAGAGTATTTAGGAGAAAGGGAAAAAAAAATTAATTACATGGTGGATTTCAGAAATTCCTCAGGACCAAACATAGAAATCTGACCAAGGGTCTCTCAGATTATCTTCATTAAGAGGTTTTGGAAAACTCATCAAACTCAGTAAATTTCCTTCATAACCCATTTGGAATTATTCCTAATGAAATGATAAAAATATGTAAAAAAGAAAAAAAAAAGGATTTCTCAGATTAGAGAGGAACTCTGATTCATCTAGCTTGAATCAGCTGCTTAAGAACATAGCTGCCAACATTTCCATCATAGTGGAGTAAGGACTGGGAAACCATTCTGAGAAGCAGACATAGGAAAGGGCAAAGAAAATTATTTTCTGGATTCTTCAGTGTTCCAGGCTCCCCTAGAAGAGCAAAATTATATTGTTTACCAAAATCATGACAAAATAAAATTTGAATGATAGGAAATTTATGTATTTAAAATTCAGAAAAGCTGATGGAAATATTCTGCCCAGCCCTACCCATATTGAAATAAAATTGAAAATGTCAGAAGTATAAGGAAATGCTGTCAAAGTTTTATTCAAAAGTCTATTTGTGCTGAAGATTTCTTAAAGTATTTCTCTTGTATGCTGAAATACATTCATATTATTTATTATGTCCTTTGATGAGATACAAGGAGTTAAGCTTAATGTTCATGATGTCACTCTACTGCTTCCTGTAATTTTGTTTCTAGAAATAAGAATTGGCAAGGGAAGTAGGACCACTCTATGGTAATGAACAAGTAATAGTATGGACATGTTAAGAGCCTCAGAAGCTGGTAATTCAGTTTTAACTTTCCATCACTTCAGTATATACAATGTTTCAAAAGAAAAAAGTCATTCAATATTATGTTGAAGGTTTTGTATTTCAACCTCTGTATTTCTTCGTGAAAATATTTCCTTAATGCTGTCATCTTTCTGATCATCATAAAGTGTCATGTTCAGTACATTTTCAGTACAATCTTCTAATGAAATTGTTGACAGGTATGAAAATACTTTTTCCATTAGAGGTTCCCTGAGAAAAGGAATTGGAGAGCTCTTTTTTGCTAGAGTATCATCAGAAAACCAGTCATCAGCTGCTTCTATACTTTGGCTGTAATAAGAATCAGATGGTATTGTTGATAAGCTTAAGGTAACACTGCTGGGATGTGTTGCCAAGCTAGTCTCTGAGGGGTCAGAAATGACCTTTTTTGTTGCAAGGCAGAATTCATCTTTAGAGTGATCTTTTATTACTGTAAAAGAAAATTAGATTTACTATGAATATTACATATTCATCAGCCAAATCTTACTTATAAGGACAATATTTCTTTTTCAAATTCAGACTTTTTAGGGTTAAAATGGACAGGAGGATGCAATAGTGAAAATTCTGAGTTGCTATCATCATCTGTGCGATGTTAAATATGTAACTGGGGATTAACAATTTCACAATGATGAAGAACAGAAAAGGCTATTCTAAATAAAATCAATCTGCTTTAATAGGAGATTTTAAATAGGCTAGAAGGCTCAGTTCTGGAATGTCCCTTAATATCAGAAAACATAGTTTCTTAAATATTTATAGATAAGTATTGCCTGATTTTTAAAAAATAAATTAAAAAAATACATGCCTCTGTAAGCAGGCAGATTACAAAATGTTTGGTCCACAGTGGGAAGGGCCTATGGGTTGGCTTTACACCAATTAAAATAACAACTAATATTCCTAGAGTGCCTTACAATATGCAAAGCAGTTTGATATATTTCCATATCTCATTTATCCTGTAAATAATTTTTCAAGGAGGTTATTATTAGAACCACTTCATAAAGGAGAAGACTGAGATTTAGAGATGGATGACTCACCACAAATCAGATACACAACAGACTTCACCTAGACTTCTAGTACTCTAAGATTCATGCTTCTCCAATTATTACATTATTTATGCTGCACAGTTGATATTTAAAAATGTTAAGTTTTAGAAAATATCACACTATATAGTATCCTAAGGACCTTTTATAATATTTTACATATTGACTTTTTTTAACATATTGACTTTTGAAATTAAAGTACAACATTAATTTTTAAAGCTGTTCTAAATACCTTATTATATTTTATATATCCAACGTTTCTTATATTATGTAGGACGGTAATGTTTTGAGGTACTAAGACATCATGTACAGTATCTAAAGGATTATAAAATACCCATGTCTTTTGACCCTCTAGGATTACCATATGGCATTGACTATGATACTTCTTCTGTTTTTGTTTTTTTTTTTTAAGAGATGGGGAGAGAGAGAGGGAGAGGATGAGTGGAGGGAGAAAGAGAGAATTTAAATACGCTACATGCCCAGCGTGGAGCCCTACGCCAGGCTTGATCTCACAACCCTGAGATCATGACGTGAGCTGAAATCAAGAATTGGATGCTTAACCCACTGAACTACCAAGATGCCCCTGACAATGATACTTTTGGGTATAAATAAGGAACAAAAATTTAAATTTCACATTTTAATTTAAGATGCGACATTGCAAGTCTTGTTTTTTAAGAAACATATGCCCACGCACATACTAATACATTACTGTTTCCCTTGAATTTCCATAATATTAAAATAATATTTAGATAGCATTTAGGTAGGCCTCTTGGTTCTTTAAGATGCAAATTGCTTTAAGTTGATTATGATTTCTTCTAATAAATTGTTGAGAAAAATTACCTTTTATATGTGCGGTTTCCTTTTTTCTTTGCTCCTCCTATATAAAAAAAGTTATTTGTATTTAAAAAACTGAATGTTTCTATGTAATTTGTTTAATATATTTAATGTATATTTATATAAGAATAATATATTTTAACTTCATAATAAGTTTTTGATGGAATTTTTTTTCCACGATGAGTTTATTTCACCAAAATATACTGACAGAAAAAAAAGTGTTTAGGTCTCATCTGGAAAGAATGTGAATTGGTTCAAGAAGGCAGTCTCAGGATAGGGAATGAAAGGGTGAAATAGAGTTCATAAGGATTATTTCTCCCTCTCCTCACTAACTCAGAGTCACTTGATTAGAACTAGAGAGGTCTAAAAAAGGAGTTAGAATTCCTAGACTTACTCATTTCATTAACCAACAACAACAAAAAAGTGAATTCTGGCTGAAGACTTTTATAAAAGTGTGCTATTCTTTTGAAGCAAATAAAACAGTTGCTCAAACAATATGTTCCATATGTGTTCTGGGAAGTGTCATGGTGTAGTAGTTTTCAAACTCCAGGGCATCAGAATCACCTGATGTGCTTATTAAAATGCTGATACTTGGGCATAATATCAGACCCTACTAAAACAGATTCTCTGGGAGGGGTTTGGGAATATCCATTGTAACACACTCTGCAAGTGGTTCTGATTAGGTTTTCCTACTGCATAGGGTGTTTGGGATGGAGTGGGTAAAGATGAGGCTGGAGAGATAATAACATTGTCTTCTTGTGTTTTAGGAGAACAGTGTTAGTACTCCATGCTGATCTGCATTGTCCTATCCCCCAAAATGGTTTGCTTAAGATATACATATATATAGGGTATGTATGTGTATGTGTGTATATATATTATGTATATAATACATATATTTCATATATGTCTTATATGTATATAGGATAACACATAAGTACTTTTTTCACAATCAACTTTACTTATTTGTCACTTTTACCTTTTATTAATATAAATGCCAGTATAGGGTCCTGACTTACCTTACCTGGACTTAGGACCAATTCAATTTGTGACTCCTATATAAATTATATTAGAACACTGCCCCTCAGACTTTTATGGCCCTATATTTTACCTGGGGAATTTGTTCAAATGCAGATTATAACCCAGTTGGTCTGGAGTGGGGTCTGAGATTGTGCATTTCTAACAGATGCGCCCAGGTAATGATGAGATTGCTGGTCTGGGGACCACGGAATAAGGCCCTAGACTGATTGAAATTCCACCCAAATTTAAGGGAATAGCAAAACAAACATTCTTACATATTGCTACTTATAAATAGGTAGAATTTTTCTGGAGGGCCATATAACAAATCTACTTCTAGAAATGTATTATGCCAGGTTAATAATTTTGGATTTATGTAAATATTCAGTTACCAGAATGTTCTTTACAACATTGTTAAGCATTTTTAAAGTCTGCAACTTAAAATTCTAAAAGAAATACTTAAATGTATTATGATACATAGATAGTAGTACAATCAATATTCTTCCAACTATTAAAAATGATGCTATAATTCCAGAAGTAAGGGCTCAAAAAATGACAGGGACATATAAAAAAAGACAGGGGGGACGCCTGGGTGGCTCAGTCGGTTAAGCGTCTGCCTTCGGCTCAGGTCATGATCCCAGGGTCCTGGGATCGAGTCCCGCATCAGGCTCCCTGCTCTTCAGGGAGCCTGCTTCTCCCTCTGCCTCTGCCTCTCTCTCTGTCTCTCATGAAAAAATAAAAAAAAAAATCTTAAAAAAAAAAAAAAAGACAGGGAAACATCCTTGAAGGGGTTCCCACTGGTTAAATTTGGGCATCAAAATAAGTATAGTAATGGATTATCATCTGCTGAATAACACAGAAACCCATGAGTCTACACAGATAATAAAGACAGAGAGCTTTTTTCTTATAGTAGAAAGCCAAATGGAAGATGGAAGTAGTAGAATTAGAAAAACATTATTTGCTACAGTTTTGTAAAGATCAGTTCAGGCAAGAATAATTTATATAGCTGGTAAGTAGAGTTTGATGAAGAAAGATATTTTCATGGTTATTACTTGGTTCAAAGTGTCATCACACAGGTTATTTAATTGCTAGGGTAAAAACAGGAATAATACAATGGGTGAATAGACATCATGTGTGATAAACTAAAATCATTAGTGAAAAGCAGATGAACATTGTATGTCTTCAGATGTGATAAAATGAATCTGATCACAAGGAAAGTCAAAATGAGTCTATGATCTATAAAGTAACTGTATTCTTCAAAAGTGTCAATATCATGGATGATGACAAAAGGACATTTTAAAATATTTTGAACTGAACAATGATGAAAACAAAACATAAAAATTTGTGAGATGCAGCAAAAGCAATGCTTAGAGGAAAATTTAAATATTAGATGTTTATATTATAAAAGAAGAAAAGTCCAAGAATAATAAAATTGAATATTTCTAGCAAGACTGATTTAGGATATAATCAGGAATGAAATGAGTGCCATCACTAAAGATTCTACAGATATTAGAAGGATAATAAGTGGATACTATTAAAAACTTTATGCCAATAAACTTAACAATTTAGATTAAATGGACAAATTCATTGAAAAACATAAATTTCTAAAACATACAAAATAAAACATTTAAATATCTATTAAAGGTCCTATATTTATAGTCAAAAACTTTCTCTGGAAGAAAACTCTAGACCTAGATGAACTCATTGCTGAATTCTAGGAAAACCTTTGAGAAAGCAGTATTGCCAATTATACACAAAAATTTTTCAAAAAGTAGAGGAGCAGGAAATATTTCATAGCTATTTTGTGACCAGAATAACTGTGATTTTAAAATCTAACAACAAAGAGGGGCATCTGGGTGGCTCAGTCTGTTAAGTGTTTGCCTTTAGCTCAGGTCATGGTCCCAGGGTCCTGGGATTGAGCCCGGCATCAGGCTCCCTGCTCAGCGGGGAGTCTGCTTCTCCCTCTATTCCTCCCGCTGCTCCTGTTCTCTCTCTCTCTCAAATAAATTCTTTAAAAAGTCTAACAAAGATATTATAAGATAAGAAAATTATAATGTCCCTCAAGAAAATAGATGCAAAAGTGACTTAAAATATATCAGTAAATCAAATCCAATGGGTTTATTCCAGGAATATAAGGTTGGTTTAACATTTGAAATTCAATGTAATTCATACTAACAAAAGAGAAAATCCATGTGAACAATGTCAAAAGATGCAGAAAAACCATTTGGCAAAATTCAGCAAACTTCATGACTAAAAAAACAGAAACAACAAACTCTCATTAGACTAAGAATAGAAGGGAATTTTCTTGACCTGACAATATGCATCTACAAAAATTCCATAGTTAACCTTCTACTTACTGGTGAAGAGTTGAATGTATTCTCTCTGAGATGAGGGATATAAAAAGGATAACTGTTCTCGACACTTCTATTCATCATTGTATGTGAGGCCTTACCCAGTAAAACAAGATAAAAAATTAAAAGCATAAAGATTAGAAAATAAGTAAAATTGATGTTTTTCACAGATGATATGATTGTGTTGAAGAAAACCCTATGGAGTCCACAAAAAAAAACTACTAAAAGTAATAAGTAAATTTATTTATAAAGGTCACAGAACACAGATCAATATAAATATCAATTGCCAAAGATGGCAATTCACTCCAATCTTATCTATAAACTAAATGTAATTCCCATCACAATCTCAAAAAGATTTTTTGTAGCTAGAGATTAATTTATCTTAAAATTTATATGAACAGGCAAAAAAACAATAAAAGCTAAAAAAAATTGACAAAAATGAAATTGGAGGAACCATACTGCTCAATTTTATGACCTACTATGTAGCTAGAGTGTGGTATTGGTAGAAATAGACACACAGGTCAGCAGTACAGACAGAGATCCAGAAATAGACCCACACATATTTTTCCAACAGATTTCTGACAAAAGTTGCAAAAGCAATTCAATGTAAAAAGGATAGCCTTTTCGATAAATAGTGCTGGAACAATTAGACATCAGGAGTCCCCAAATGAATTTTGACTTACACCTCATACCTTATTAAAAAAATTAACTAAAAGTGGATCAAAGATAGAAATATAAAATGTAAAACTTAATAGCAAAAACAATCATGAAAAAAAAAGTTGGAGAACTTCCTGAAATTAAAACTTACTTCAAAGCTATAATAATTAAGAAGATGTGGTACTGATATAAGGATAGATACATAGATCAATGGAATAGAACTGACATTCCAGAAATAAAAGTTCACATTCATAGTCAATTGATTTTTGACAAGTGTTCCAAGACAATCATTGGGGAAAGAATAGTCTTTTCAACAAATGGTGTTGGGACAACCAGATATGTACATGCAAATGAATGAAGTTGGGCCCATACCTCACACCATATCAAAATGCAACTCAAAATAGATTAAACATTTAAATATAAGAGCTAAAACTATTAAAACTCTTAGAAGAAAATATAGGCATAAATCTTTACATCTTAGATTAGAAAAAGGTTTTAGATATGACACTGAAGTTTTTAATCTTGATGAAGTCCCAATAGTTCATTTTTGCTTCGGTTTCCCTTACCTCCAGAGACATGTCTAGTAAGAAGCTGCTATGGCCAACGTGAAAGAGGTTGCTGCCTGTGATCTCCTCTAGGATTTTGATGGTTTCCTGTCTCACATTTAGGTCTTTCAACCATTTTGAATTTATTTTTGTGTATGGTGTAAGAAAGTGGTCCAGTTGCATTCTTTTGCATGTTGCTGTCCAGTTTTCCCAACACCATTTGTTGAAGAGACTATCTTTTTTCCATTATATATTCTTTCCTACTTTGTCAAAAATTAGTGGACCATATAGTTGTGGATCCATTTCTGGGTCTTCTCTTCTGTTCCACTGATCTACATGTCTGCTTTTGTGCCATGACCATATTGTTTTGATTACTACAGCTTTGTAGAATATCTTGATATTTGGGATTGTGATATCTCCATTTTTGTTCTTATCAAGATTGCTTTGGCTATTTGAGGTCTTTTAATTTTAGGATTATTTGCAAAACATAAATTTGATCTGTTCATACGTTGGAATACTATAAAAAAGTCTATAATGAACTATGGGTATATGCACCAACCTGGATGAATCTCAGAAACATAATGTTGCACAAAAAGGTAAGAGTATATTAGACATGGAGTCTAAAAACATGTAAAATTTAATAATACATTGTTCAAGGATCTATAGTATTTGTGGTAAAACCATAAAGCAAAGCAAAGAAATGGTTAACTGCAATTACAGGATAATGGGTCCTTCAGTGAAGGGTGGGGGTACAGACTGTAAGAGATAAATGAAGACTCAGGACATCTCAAAGGTACTGGTAATATTCTATTTCTTATTCTGGGTGGTGGGCTTAGTCTTTAAATTGTTTATGGGTACTCTTCTGTTTATATGCTGTATTTCACAATAAACGCTTTTTTAGAAATGAAGCTGTAGTTCTAAATATTAAGCCGTATCTTTTGTTACAATTTTCATCCTCCTGCCTGTCTGTCTCTAGGAGGTGAGGAAGAGGCCACTACACAGGCAGAAATTGAGATGAAAAAAAGAGGGGCAATATGAAAAAGAATCCTTTTGTACTGAAACTGACTGTGGCTGAAGTCAGCACTACTTTATTCTTTTCATACCATGTTTTCATACTATGTTTTATAATACCTTTTTTTCTGAATTAGGTTCCTATCACTATCAAGAATTCTGGCTAATACTTTATATTTACTTGTGTATTATTTATCTCTCCCATTAGACTATAAATCTCATGGGAATAGGGACTCTTGTCTTCCTTGTTCACTACCAAATTTCCAGTTGCCTAGAACAGTGCCTGGCATATAAGCCTTCATCAGGTATTTGCTGAATGAACAATAAACAGTTAAACAGTACTACTATATATGTACTTCTTCCATCATAGTACTCATGACATTTTTGTAATTATCTGTCTGTATCTATCATTAGGTATGAAGACATCATTATGTCTGTATCTATCATTAGGTATAAAGACATCATTATACTACAGTACCTAGCAAAATGCCTAGATGTGTTGGGTACTCAGTAAATTCAATTAATACTAAATACGTACATAGAAACATTTTTCTCTGCAATGCAATCTCAATTTCAAACAACCCTTCATTTGAAAGAACTATTAATCTTTAGAATTGATTTGATCATTAAGCCCACCTGCTTAAAACCCCCCAGTAATCATAATGGTAAACTTGTATGATGCTCATTATGTGACCAGGCATGATTCTGAGTGTTTTTTACATACTAATTAATTTACTTCCCATAACAATTCTATGGAGATAAAATCATCCTCATTTTGCAGATGAGGAAACAGACACACAGAAGTTAAGTAACTTGCCTAAGATTATACAGCTAGTAGTGGTAGAGCCAGGATTCTAACCTGCATCAACTGGCTCTACAGTCTATGCTCTTGACCCTAATCCCATAATGCCTCCAGTGGATCTGTAAAGCCTATGGAGTAAAATCCAAAATCCTTAGGCTGTAAATGAGGTTTCTCACAACCCCATCTCCAGGATCTTTCCCCACCACTTCTCTCTATGAACCCTAGGCCCCAAACACTGTAACAATTTTACTGAATATGTTACTTACTTTCATAGCTGCAAGCCTTTGAACATAGAATGAATGTCCTTTGTTCTCTTTCCTCCTGGCACACTTAACATTCCTTTCTCAAAATCCAGCTAAAAATTTCTTCTCTGTGAAGCCTTCCTCAATTTATGCTCCCTTGTCTGCACTTCTTCAATTCTGTGGCTCTTACCACATTATGATGTAATTTTTAGCTTATATGTTTTTCTTCTCTACTAACTTTGGGCTCATCTAGGTCTGAACTCATATCTTATTTGTTTATGTAGCCTCAGTGCCAAACCTAGTGTTGTCATATTTAAGGCACTTGAAAAATATTTGTTCAACAAATGAACACTGAGTTCAATTTGAATTCAATATTCAATAGGTATAATGAAACTTTGATATCCTATCAATTTGTTGCTATTTATTTATTAATGCTATAATAATAATGATGATGCTATAAACCACTAATATTTGTTTTGTTTAGTTATATCATAGTTTTACATTTCTACTGGTATCTCCCCCTTGTTTTACTTTGTCCATATAACACTTGTGTATGGTGTAAGAAAGTGGTCCAGTTTCATTCTTTTGCATGTTGCTGTCCAGTTTTCCCAACACCATTTGTTGAAGAGACTATCTTTTTTCCATTGTATATTCTTTCCTACTTTGTTGAAAATTAGTGGACCATATAGTTGTGGATCCATTTCTGGGTTTTACTTTGTCCATATAACACTTGTTTTACTTTGTCCACATAACTCTCTTTTGACACCACATAACAAAAAGTTAATTATGTGTCTTCCTTTCCCACTTGTACTACACTAGCATATCTTACCATCTTTAACTGGGGGTTCCCAGAGCTTAGAATATAATGAAGTCTTAATAAATCCTTGTTAAGTTTTACTTAATTTCAGTTAGTTGGTTTTGTTAGATTATCTGATTATCTGAGTATCCTCTTATTTCCAAATCGCTTTCCTCTGATGGGCCTGGCAATTTTGCTTTGTTTTTCTTATGCCATTTATCTTCATCCCTGTAATAATCCCCATCTGAGGAATATAGGTTCTTAAGCTAGAGATGTAGAGAAACAACTACAAAAGCATTTTCTTTTAGTTTTTCAGTTTCCTATAATATAAAAACTAACTAGTCTGGGTAATTTAAATTTAGCTCCACGTTACTATCTCTCAAATTTAAAAATAGCAGTGGATACTCTGTCTTTCAAATTTAAATGTTAATGACAATTTCTTTTTTTTTTTTTAAGATTTTATTTATTTATTTGAGACAGAGAGAATGAGATACAGAGAGCATGAGAGGGAGGAGGGTCAGAGGGAGAAGCAGACCCCCCGCTGAGCAGGGAGCCCGATGCGGGACTCGATCCCGGGACTCCAGGATCATGACCCGAGCCGAAGGCAGTCGCCTAACCAACTGAGCCACCCAGGCGCCCCGACAATTTCAAACAATGTTAATGACATGGTATCAAATAAATTATTTGAAAATATTTCTATAAAATATCATACACTACCTGTGATTGGAATTCTCCAGTATGAAAATTTCGAGAAATAAAGATACATTGAGAATGACTTTTAATCTTTCCCTTTAATGATCTTTGCCTGCATCTCTCATCAATTCCTTTAAATTTGGAATTTTGAAATATTTCTCTGAAAAATATTTTATAGAGAATTATTATCAAACATGAGTTCCATTATAAATCACTTAAATTATTATTTCCAATAGTTATACATAAAAGTTTAAAATCAGAATTACTATATATTTATTTTTAAAACACCAATCAACATATATATTCCCTTCTCATATGTTACTGATTTCACTACACCTATTTTATTCATAGAATGTAAATTAAGCTACTTCTTATGCAGTCATTCCAAACTTAACTATTTATTTTATTTATTTTTTTCAAGGAATTATGGCCTTTATTTTTTTTAATTTTATTTTATTATGTTAGTCACCATAAACACTATTTAAAAAATAATGCTGATTGCCATTTCTTCTTACAAAAGTACTAGAAAATTTCTAAATTCAAGAGACTGTATTGCATTACTTAATGAGGTACAATTAGGATTCACTCATTCATTGAATTCAGTTCATTTAACAGATATTTATTCAGTACTATGTGTCAGGCATTATGCTGCATGTTGTATATATAGTGGCAAGGAAAAAAAAGCACAGCCACTACCCTCATAGAACTGTTATTGCTCTCGTGGAAGTTAAACACTATTAAGGAAGACAGACATTAATAAAATGCTGACAAGAAAATGAAAAATTACAACTTTGGAAAGTGTTATCAAGGAAAGGTACCTGGTGGACTGTGGGAGTATGCAACAAAGGGAATTAATCTGGTTGAAGAGGTTAAGGAAGGCTTTTCTGAGGAAGGGATGATTGAATTGGGCATTTGAAGCAATAGTTAGTTATTAGGTAGAGTATTGTGGAGGAAGGGAGATGCAGAAGAAAGAATGTTCCAGTCAGAAAGCATATCAAGTATAAAGACCTAGGGGCCAGATTAGGACAGTGCAACAGAAGCAGTGAAAGCAAGAGAGAAGTGGGAGATGAAATGGGCAGACCATGTAAGGCCTTAAAAGTCATGCCACTTGGGCACCTGGGTGGCTCAGTTGGTTAAGCGACTGCCTTCGGCTCAGGTCATGATCCTGGAGCCCCTGGATCGAGTCCCACATCGGGCTCCCTGCTCGGCAGGGAGTCCACTTCTCCCTCTGACCCTCCTCCCTCTCATGCTCTCTGTCTCTCATTCTCTGTCTCACAAATAAACAAAATCTAAAAAGAAGTCATGCCGCTTGTCTTTATCCTAAAAGCAATGGGAAGTCCTTTATAATATAGTGGGGAATGGGATGGAATGGTCTGGTAACTTGATTAGATGTGTATTTGGAAAATGTCTGGCTGAAGTGTGAAGAGATTTAATGAGGATGATAGCAAAGGTAGAGTGTCAGTTATAACTTGTACTGCAGTAATCTATGTGAGGGATAATGATAACTTAAGTAAGATGGTGGCAGTGGTAACTGAAAGAAAAGGATAGATTTGAGTGATTTATGAGGTAAATAAATATAACTTGGTGATGGTTCAAATTTGGGGGAAGCATGAAAGAGAGAGGAATATATCAAGCATGTCTTCAATTTTTAGAGAGAAAAAAAAAACCCTTCCTTGACCTCACATTCTCCTCCAGCTACTTCCCCATTTGTCAACTCCCCTTCACCAAAAACAAAACAAAACAATACAAAACAAAAAAACCCATCTTCCTTAAAGAGAGATCTATACTTGATTCAATTCTCTTACCTCCTGCGTTTTATTCAAATGTGAGCTTCTGAACCCATCACTCCACCAAAACTGTTAAAGGTCATCAATAACTTCCATGTTGACAAATCCAAAAATTATTTCTCCATCCTCATCTTTCTCAACTTCTTAAGCACTTTCAATATCATCTCCTCCTTCTTGAAACATTTTCTAATTTTTTCCCTCTATTTCTTTTAAAAATTTTAAATTCCAGTATTGTTAACATACAAGGTTATCTTAGTTTCAGGTGTAAATATAGTAATTCAACAAGTCCATACATCACTCAGTGCTCATCATGACAAGTGCACTGCTTAATCCCCATCACCTATTTCACCCATCCTCCCCTTCACCTCCCTTCTGATAACCATCACTTTGTTCTCTATAGTTAAGATTCACTTCTTGGTTTCCCTCTCTCTCTCTCTTTTGTTTTGCTCTTTGTTTTGTTCCTTAAAATCCACATATTAGTGAAATCATATGGTATTTATCTCTCTGACTTATTTTGCTTAACATTATACTCTCTAGCTCCATTCATGCAAATGGCAATATTTTATTCTTTTTTATGGCCAAATAATATTCCATTGTCTATTATACCACATCTTCTTTATCCATTCATCATTCGATGGACACTTGGGCTGCTCCCATAGTTTGGCTACTGTAAATAATGCTGCAATAAACAGAGGGGTGCATGTATCCCTCTGAATTCATGTTTTTGGATTATTTTGGGGTAAATACCCAGTAGTGCGATTACTGGATCATAGGGTAGCTCTATTTATAATTTCTTGAGGAACCTCCATACTGTCTTCCAAAGTGGCTGCACCAGTTTGCATTCCCACCAACAGTACAAGACAGTTCCTTTTTCTGCACATCCTCTCCAACACTTGTTTCTTGTGTTTTTTTTTAAGTCATCCTGACAGGTGAGAGGTAATATCACCTTGTGGTTTTGATTTGTATTTCCCTGATGATCAGTGGTGCTGAGCATCTCTTCATGTGTCTATTGGCATCTGGATGTCTTCTTTGAAGAAATGTCTGTTCATGTCTTCTGCCCATTTTTAAATTGGACTATTCGTTTTGTGGGTGTTGAGTTGTATAAATTCTTTATATATTTTGGATACTAACCCCTTATCAGATATCATTTGCAAATATCTTCTCCTGTTCCATAGGTTTCCATTTAGTTTTGTTGATTATTTCCTTTGCTATGCAGAAGCTTTTTATGTTGATGTAGTCCCAATAGCTTATTTTTTCTTTTATTTCCCTTGCCTCAGGAGACATATCTAGAAAAATGTTGCTAGAGCCAATGTCAGAGAAATTACTGCCTGTGCTCTCTTCAAGTGGTCCAGTTTCATTCTTTTGCTTGTGCCTGTCCAGTTTTCCCAACATCATTTGTTGAAGAGACTTTTTCCCATTGGATATTCTTTCCTGTTTTGTTGAAGATTAATTGACCACAAAACTGTGGGTTTATTTCTGTGTTTCCTATTCTGTTCCATTAATCTATGTGTCTATTTTTGTGCCAGTACCATACTGTTTTGATTACTACCACTTTGTAATATAATTTGAAGTCCGGAATTGTGATACCTCCAGCTTTATTTTTCTTTTTCAAAATTGCTTTGGCTATTCAGGGTCTTTTGTAGTTCCATATAAATTTTGTGATTTTTTTTCTAGTTCTGTGAAAAAATGTTTTTGGTGTTTTGATAGGAATTGCATTCAATCTGTAAATTGCTTTGGGTAGTATGGACATTTTAACAATAATTGTTCTAAGCAATGAGCATGGAATGTCTTTCCATTTCTTTGTCTCTTTAATTTCTTCCATCAATGTTTTATAGTTTTCAGAGTATGGGTCTTTTACCTCTTTTTTTATTCCTAGGTATCCTATTGTTTTTGGTGTGATTATAAATGGGATTATTTTCTTAATTTCTCTTTCTGTGGCTTCATTATTAGTGTATTAAAATGCAACAGATCTCTACATATTGATTTTGTATCCTGTGACTTTACTAAATTCATTTATCAGTTCTAGTAGTTTTTTGGTAGAGTCTTTAGGGTTTTCTATATATAGTATCATCTGCAAATAATGAGAGTTTTACTTCTTCCTTACCAATTTAGATATCTTTTATTTCTTTTTGTTGTCTAATTGCTTTGGCTAGGACTTCTGGTACTATGTTGAGTAAAAGTGGTAAGAGTGGACATCCTTGTCTTGTTCCTGACCTTAGGAGGAAAGCTCTGTTTTTCCCCACTGAGAATGATAATAGTTGTGGGTTTTTCATGTATGGCTTTATTATGTTGAGGTATGTTCCCTCTAAACCTACTTTTTAAAGGGTTTTTATCATGAATCAATGTTGTACTTTGTCAAATGCTTTTTCTGCATCTATTGAGGTGATCAAAGTTTTTACTTTCTTTTATTGATGAGATATATCACACTGATTATTTTGTGAATATTGAACCACTCTTGCATCCCAGGAATAAATCCCACTTGGTCATGGTGAATGACTGTTTTAAGTATTGGTGGATTCTATTTGCTAGTATTTTGTTGAGATTTTTGCATTTATGTTCATCAGGGATATTGGCCTATAGTTCTCCTTTTTGTGGTATATTTATCTGGTTTTGATATCAGGATAATGCTGGCCTCATAGAATGAATTTGAAAGTTTTCCTTCTTCTATTTTTTAGAATACTTTGAGTAGAATAGGTATTAACTCTTCTTTAAATGTTTGGTAGCATTCACCCGTGAAGGCATCTGGCCCTGGACTATTGTTTGTTTGGTGTTTTTTGATTACAGATTCAATCACCTCACTGGTAATAGATCTATTCAAATTTTCTGTTTCTTCCAGTTTCAGTTTTGGTAGGTTATATTTCTCTGAATTTATCCATTTCTTCTAGGTTGTCTAATTTGTTGGCATACAGTTTTTCATAATCTCTTAAAATTATTTGTATTTCTGGGATGTTGTTATTTCTTCTCTTTTGTTCTTTCATTGGTGATTTTGTTCATTTGAATCCCCCCCCCCCTCCTTTCTGGAAGAGTCTGCCTAGAGGTTTATCAATTTTGTTGATCTTTCAAAGAACCAGCTCCTGGTTTCATTGATTTGTTTTTTTTTTTTTTAAGTTTCTATATCATTTATTTCTGCTCTAATCTTTATTATTATTTCCTTTCTTCTGCTGGTTTTAGGTTTTGTTTGTTGTTCTTTTCCTAGTTCCTTTAGGTTGTTTGAGGTTTTTCTTGCCTCATGAGGTAGGCCTGTATTACTGTAAACTTCCCTCTTAGAATTGCTTTTGCTGGGGGTGGCCAGGTGGCTCAGTCTGTTAAGTATCTAACTCTTGGTTTGAGCTCAGGTCATGATCTCAAGGTCATGAGATTGAGTCCTCTGTCA